AATGCACTATGTCACGGTGCATGGATTACCAAGAACGGTCGTTAAATACGCCTCCCCATATTTCACTGGTATTTACTTCTTATTGACGATAGCTCAAGGGGCCTTCTTGAGATCCGCAAATGAAAAGGCACTTATAGTCTTGCCACACACACATTTACTGTCACTCTTGGTGTCAGATTCTGACAATTTGCCCCCTAGACGGCTCCTATTTTCATTAAATTGAATTTTCTCAGTAGGTATTTTTTCTCCCACAGAGACGGAGAAGTACTCTCTCGGGCACTGGCTACAACCACAACTTGACTCTTCTGGCTTACACCTAGCTGACTTGGCCTTCAACGCTTCCACCTCGAAGGTATGCACTCCCCTCGTTGATCCATTCTCATTGGCTTGGGCCCTCCGTAGGTAGTTCCGCGGCCTGGCCAATGGCAGCGCGTTATCACCATCCAGAAGGTGGCCAATCTGTCAAGCCTGCCGAAGACTGGTGAGTATTTAGTCTCTCGTTGTGCTAAGTAATGGCCTTGTAGACCTTATGGAAATCAAAAGGTGCGTCCGAGTTTGCCTCTGCAATGGCAAAACGGTAGGTGAATTGTAAACAGATCCGATCAACGCTGCTGCTTTAGGTGATTAGTAACGTCTACCAGATGGCACTCTCACCTCCGGGCAGCAAGGGCGCAACGTACACCGTGAACCCACTGGTAGGTGATCTTTTTACTTCTTTTTCAGGCTTGAATCGTTGTGCAAAAAGTTCCGAAGTTAGGTCAGGAACGAGGATGGGCATATCCGGAAGTGCAATGCCAACCAACATGGCATGCAGATGCTAGTCCGATTTATGCTAGCTTCAGTAATCCGCTGGATCCGGATGCTTAACAGATTATTAGTACATATGCTATGCGCTCTTCTGCGGCTTCTCAAGCATTTTGAAGAATCACTTCATTATTTTGTAAAACCGAAGTTAAATTTAGACGCGAAGGCACGCTATTCATTAGATAACCGAAACAGCAGTAGATTTATCAAAACTATTAATGTTTTCCGAGCTTTCATGTTCAGGGTTGTGTAAGCAGCTATACGCCTTTCAACAAATAATCTTGCTAAACGTTTTGGTACTTTGTTCCTTGATGTAGATCAGCAGCAATTTAAAACGGCATTTTCTTGGAGAATGTTATTGATGAGTTCGCTTGCAAGCTCCTCCCAAAATTTAATTGGGGTAACAGTTTTATAGATAACACCACGGAAACCGAAGACCCCAGAATTCTCTAATGCGAGACTGGTGGTAATGGGGGATTGCATGAGTAGGGTGGTACGGGGCTGCAGGAGAAAAAATATAAGAAATAAGGCAAACAAAAACGGCAAAATTGAAGATAAAATTATTATGAAAGTAAAAGTATAGCAATTATAGCGATAATTGAAAAATAAAGAATGAATTTAAGAAATAAAATTAACTAGAGTAATGAAATAATTTTTTTACGAATTACCTTTACAACCGGTCCCGGTTTAGAGAATTCTGGATTTCGGCTTCTGTTATATTACTTTTAATGGACTGTTACCTTTATTGGCTTATGAAATTACTAAGACCTCTTTAATGGGCCAACATGTGAGCTCGACTAATTCAAGTTCTGCAGCTGAGTCCAAGTTTGTTTTATACTCTCCATTATCCTAAAGACACGACATTTTTGCCAATTGTTGCTCTGTATGGTTTCTTTTTCTCAATCACAGGTACTGTTCGCCTTCATGCACGAAGCATTTGCATTCACAAGCAATAATTTTTGGGGATTTAGTTAAATGGCAGGGCAATAAGTAAAGCAGCTGGCTCAACTAGGTCAATTATTTTTGACATGCCTACTGAATGTATTTTCAGTAGGCTTTCTGGCGCTCAAAAAACGGCCAGTTTGCTTACTACCTTCAAGCCAACCGCTTACTCGGTGCGGTCAAGCTCTCTTGTCCTT